CCACCCTCCAAAACTCTGAGATAAACAACTTAAAAGGAGGAAAGATTTATTTTGGCTTACAGTTTCAGAGCTTCCCGTTCATGATCACTTGGTTCTATTGTTTGGGCCTGTGAGGCAGAACATTGTAGCAAAAGACATGATGCAAGAAAGCTGCTTACCCTGTGGTGGCCAGGAAGAAGTGGGGGGGCAGGGCACTTTTATATAAAGTCCCTCTCCCAAACCCATTATGATGTGAATCCATCAATGAATCAATCCATTGATGAGGTCAGAGCCCTTGTGATCTAATTGCCCCAAAGCCTTACTATGAACACTGCTACACTGGGAACCAAGACTTTTGGGAGGACATTTAAGCTTCAAACCATACCTGGCTCCCCATGTATTTCTTTTCTGCTTAAGCCAGTTTGAGTTTGGTTTTTGCTACTTGCAAAAGTCCTGACTAATCCATTGGGTAATGGGATAAATATTGTTGCTACTTATGAAATAAATCTAGGAAGGACAAAGTATGAGAAATAATAGGCACAACATGGTATTACCTCATTCAGGAACCTGCTGAATGTCTTGATTGATGTCAGGAAGTTTCAAAACCATCTCTAGCACTTGTTATTAGTGTATTCCAAATATTTCCTGTTCCTGTGGCCTCTCCTGGAACTGAATGTCTTCCGGAAATGAACTGCCTCTGAGCTGTGTTTTGTAGCAGTGGGTCCTGAAACTCTAGGGTGGCAATGAGTTGTGATGTGTGTTATGATTTATTATTAATGACAAAAGCATCCATATTTTCAAATAATGTTCTTTGAAATTTTAATTTTATTCTGATCAAGGCACCTTTTCTGTGTCTATATATGATACCAGGGATTGAATCCATTAGTGCTCTACCACTGAGCAATATCTCCAGCCTTTTTTGTTTTTAATTTTGAGACAAGGTCTCACTGAGTTGCCCATACTGTCCTCAAACTTGCGATCCTCCTGCCTCAGCCTCCAGAGTCTCTAGGATTACAGGCATGTGCCAAAATGTCCAGCTGTTCTTATTTTTGAAAAAATCAAATAGTTTTATAATTCTTAAAATGATAAAACATTTGTTCCCTACCCACACCTATTCACTTAGCAGTAATTGCATTGAACTCTTTTAGTTATTTCTTTAGGTATTTATTTCCATATTTATAAATAACATGCTTATAGTATTATTTCTTAATTATTTCAAAGTTCTTGTACCCTATCCTTTCTCTACTACCCAATATTGTTATAATTTTGGTCAATATTTGTTGTTTGTTATTGTGATTATGTAATTGTATTTAATTTATCTATCTATCTATGTATCTATCTATCTATTTTTGTGGTTCTTGGAATTGAACCCAGAGCATCATGCTTCCTAGGCAAAAGGTCTACCACAGATTTGTATCCCCAGCCCTTTTATTCTTTATTTTATTTATTCAGTAGTTTTTAGTTATATATGACAGCAGAATGTATTTTCACATATCATACATACATGGAGTATAACTTCCCATTTTTGTGATTGTACATGATATGGAGTTACACTGGTTGTATAGTCATATATGAAAATTATGTCTGATTCATTCTACTGTCTTTCCCATTCTCGTCCCCCTTTCCCCCACTCCCTTCCACCCCCTCCCATCTGTATCAGAGAGAACATTTGGCCTTTGTTTTTTGAGGATTGTATTATTTCACTTAGCATGATTGTTTTCGGTTCCATCCATTTACCTGCAATTGCCATAATGTCATGCTTCTTTATGGATGAGTAATATTCCATAGTATATGTATACCATATTGTCTTTATCCATTCATCTGTTGAGGGTACCGGTACCTAGGTTGGCTGCATAGCTTAGCTGTTGTGAATTGGTTGATGAGGCTGCATCAATGTAGTATGCTGATTATAAGTCCTCTGTGTATACACTGAAAAGTGGGATAGCTGGGTCAAACGGTGCTTCCATTCCAAATTTTCTGAGGAATTTCTATACTGCTTTCCAGAGTCATTGCACCAATTTGCAGTTCCACCAGCAATGTACAAGTGTACCTTTTCCTCCATATCCTCACAACATTATTGTTACTTGTATTCTTGATAACTGTCATTCTGACTGGAGTGAGATGAAATCTCAGTGTAGTTTCAATTTGTATTTTTCTAATTGCTAGTGATGTTGAACATTTTTTCATTTATTTGTTGACCAATCGTATTTCTTCTTCTTGGAAGTGTCTGTTCAGTTCCTTTGCCCATTTTATTTTAGTTGTTGATTGACTTTTATTTTATTTATTTATATGCAGTGCTGAGAATTGAACCCAGTGCCTCATACTTGCCAGGCAAGTATGCTACCACTGAGCCCCAGCCCCAGCCCCATCCTTTCCCATTTATTGATTGGGTTATTTGCTTTTTCGCTGTTAAGTTTTTTGAGTTCTTTATATACCCTGGGGATCCTTTTACTCTTTAGATTTCCTTGAGCTTAATGGTTACTCACTTTCATTTGCTTAGTTTTCTATGTTACTATCACTAATTTGCCCTCAAACTCTCCACCAGCAGTGTAAATTTTCTCTTGACATATCAGGTAATCAGCTTAATTCGTTTTTTCTTCTTCTTTTAAATTTTTTTTTTAGTTGTAGATGGACACAATATCTTTATTTTGTTTATTTATGTTTTTATGTGGTGCTGAGGACAGAACCCACTGCCTCACACATGTTAGACGAGCACTCTACCACTGAGCCACAACCACAGCCCCAGTTTTTTCTTCTTCAACTTCCTTCTCTTTGTTTTTTTTGAACCCAGGGTCGCTTTACCACTTAGCTACATCCACAGCCCTTTTTACTTTTTATTTTGAGACAGAATCTCACTAAGTTGCTTAGGGCCTTACTAAGTTGCTGAAGCTAGCCTCAAACTTGGAATCCTCCTGCCTCCACTTCCCAAGTTGCTGGAATTACAGACCTGTGCCACTGTGCCCTGCCTTCCTTCTTCTTTTGGTATTCCTTTATGTCCCATGTTAGATTGCTTTCCATTTAGGTAGTATCCTAGAATTTCCTTCATCATCATCCCGGCTATTGCCTTCACCTTGCTTTCATGTTGCATCCTGTTTCCCACATCCTATTCCTTCCTCTTCCTTGGCTCATTGTCTTGTTTTGGGGGAATACGTCCTTTAATACTTCACTTTTAAAAATGTACTCTAGGGAGCAGCAACAATGACATCACCTGAGAGCTTGTCAGAAATGCCACTCCGGACCCACTGAATCACAATTAACAAGTTCCCTGGGTGATTATAGCACTTTAAAGTTTAGATATAATGCTCTGGTAACATTTCTGCAATATGCATTCTACTCTCTTTTTTTTTTGGTGGTTCTGGGTATTGAACCTACGGGTGTTCTACTTTTGAGCTACATCCCTAGTCCTTTTTATTATTTTGCAATTCTCCTGCCTCAGCCTCCTGAGTTGCTAGGATTATAGGGTGTGCCACCATGCCTGGCTCTACTCTCATTTTTTTTTTTTTTTGTACCAGGGATTGAAACCAGAGGCACTTAACCACTGAGCCACATCCCCAGCCCTTTTAAATATTTTATTTAGAGACAGGGTTTCAGTGAGTTGCTTAAGACTTCACTAAGTTGCTGAGGCTGGCTTTGAACTCGAGATCCTGCTGCCTCAGCCTCTTGAGCCACTGGGATTATGGGCATGCGCCACCATGCCCAGCCTCTATTCTCATTTTTGACTGGGAATAAAACTGGAAATAATTTTCCATCAGAACATTTCTATGTGGTCTTCTAAGCTCCATTATTGCTGCCTATAAGTTCAGTCTCATTATGATATTCTAGCCCTTTTTATGTAACCTTTGTCTTTCTGTTATTTTTATTTCCTGGTCTCTGAAATTTCATAATGTGCTTTGGTTTGGGTCTTTTTTTGTTTGTTTGTTTAGTGTTCTGTGTACTCAGCAAACCCTTTTAACCTGGAGGTTCTTGTGGCTCTGCAATATTTTCTTATATTATTTCTTCAATTATTTTCTCTAATTGTTTCCTCTATTATCCAGCCCTGTTTTTCCTAACAGAAATTCATTGGACTTCCTGACGTGCTCCTCTGAGACTTCTTATCTTAAACCTCCCATTTCCATGGGACGTTTTCATTTTGCTTTTCTGGGGATATTTTATCACCTTTATCCCCTAATTCTTCTATCAATTTTATTTTCTTCTGCCATCATATCTTTACTATACAAGGACTCTTTATATTCTTAGAACATTCCATTTCATAGCATTTCCCCTTTTTTGCATAAATACATCATCTTTTTACCCCTGTAAAGACATCAATTATACAGTTTTTTTTTTTAAAGTTTTCTCCTGGCTTCTGCACCTTTCAAGGTGCCAGAGTTTTTCTCAGGTTTGGACCACGGCTTGGATTGCTTTTTAGCTCTCTGCCTCCACCCTGCCCTTGACTGCAGTTTTAACTTTTTTCTATTGAGCATAAATATTAGATAAAATACAAGATCATATATGTATGACTGGATGACTGTTTACATATATTTTTATCTGAGTAACCACCATCCCTAATCAAGATTTAGAACATTTTCATCATGAATGAAGTTTCTCTTGTGCCTCCTTCCAGAAAATACCCCCACCCAAAGGTAGCCACAATTTTAACTTTTATTACCATAGATTGATATAGTCCATTCTACTACTTACAAACATGGAAACAGGTAGTATGTGCTCTTCTGAGTCTGGCCTCTTTCACACTGCATTCCATCTGTAAGGTATGTTTCTCTGACCAGTTTCCTGATGGCCATATGGTGATGGACCCATCCTGGCTCAGCTCCAGCTGGTGATTCTGTGTAGGTTCCTCCCTAATAATTTACAGTCATCTCTTTGAACTGCCACCCTATGCAAATATGGCTCATTGCTCCTGGCAGCTAACTGGTGTATGAGTGAATGTGAGTGAGTGTGTGGGGTGTGTGTGTGTGTGTGTGTGTGTGTGTGTGTGTGTGTGTGTGGGTGTGTAAGCCTGGTCTGAATTCTTGGCTCTTTCACAGATGCATCTTTTCACTTGAGCAAGTCTCTTTTGCTAATCCCACTGTTTCTCATTCCCCAGTCCCTTGGATCCACCAATCATTTTGAGCCTCTCCAAGGTCAGCAGATTTTATATTGGTGAAGAGAAAGCTCATTCTGCTCATTCATTATATTGCTCATT